CGAGCAGCTGATTAACTCGGTTTAATTTTCGACACTGAACGACACTGACAATGGAACCAATCTGAAAACAAATAATTTATTAGATTACCTTCATTTCATAACCCTCATTATCGAAGGGAATTCGACCAGATTTATATTGAAGCTCTCATTTAGTCTTAGAATTTAGATTTAGTCATATTTTTCTGATGCTAACTTGGTTAACGAAACGCGCGCCAAGCTACATTATTTTTCTTCTGGTGTGGGAAAAGTTTCTTCGATAAATTCAACGATGGTGGTGGAAAAAAATTTCAAGGAGTAATCTTATTTCAAAATTATTTTTTTCTTTTAATTTTTGGTATCAACCTTGTCAATGTGCGTGTCGTTATTTTCTCGGATTATGTTCTTTCCTTCATATGTCAGTGCGTATCGGGCAATTAACCTCTTAATCATCAATTATTAGTCCGTTGTTCAATCCAGTCAAATGGAGGTTCCTTGACATCGTTGGCTCCCCTCGTATGAACTCATTCCACGCGTAGACAACAAAGGGTGGCGGTGGCCCTATTCTATTAGATCTCCCGCCCCTTCCCTTGACATCTGTTCTCGGATCGAGGCTGTGGTCGATACGCATGCGCCCTTCTCTTTCACATAAGGTCGTTCGTAGGACTTTATTAATGATTGTTGTTGGTAGTTTGGGTATGCATTCCATTCCAACCATAGGAAATAGAGGTATAAGAGCTTCTTAGGAATGAGAAATGACTGAGACGGGGAGATGAGATTCTGAGAAATTTTAAATGCTAGGCTGCGATTTTTTTTCCAATTTGCTGTTATGGTCGTTCATTTCTCTGTGGAGATTATATTCAGAGTAATGAAACGTTTCCGGCGGTGTTGCCACGTTGCATCGACGAATTTCTCGAGGGTTAACTCGCGAGAAAAAACTGGAACATGTCATGACCTAATTTAATGTGATTATAAAAGGTCCCACGCAAGTTCTACGCGTGTATTTTGCTCAATAAATTCGAACTACTTCGAAACGTGACGGAATTTGAAAATAATGGAGTCTCACCTAATTAGCTTAGGTTTGTTATGTTATGTTATTACATTTTTATTTGGAGAAGTGCGTTTATATAGAATAAACTTCCTAAGAACGTTTTTCCAAATGGATTTGATCTCCAGCGATTTAAATCCAATGTGAATCGCTACTTTCGCACTGGCACCGCTCTTAGAGCGCCTTAAAGATTTTTCTGTATTGCATGTGTTTTGTCCTTGAAAAAAATTGACTGTTTCACATTCTGGAAAACATACATTTGATATGGAAGGCGGCCACAGTCACCACAATACTTAAGTCTGTAAACCGAATAGATGAAGAAAATTATAGGTGCATTTCTATTAAGTGTGCACCGTATAAATTATTTGAACACTTAATTCACGTTAAATTGAGAAATATGTTATTCCCCAACAAGTTTGTGTAGCTGACGAGCTTATAACTCCTAATTTACTTTTTTCACTAACCGTGCATGTGACATATTTTAATCGAAATCACAATTAACAGAAGTAGTCCGTCTCAGATGTAATAAATCACTCATATGTCAGCTTTTTTCCAATCCTGGAAACAGTCCTGATATGCACTTTTAGGTATGTCTCTGAGCTCTCTCAGAGATTCGGTTTTTATCTCCTTTCATGGGTCTCTTTAATATTGGGAACAGGATAAAGTCGCAGGCGGACAAATTTGGGGAATACGGTGGCTGAGGCATGATTACGGTGTTGTTTTTGGCCTAAAAATTACGAACGAGCAATGATGACTGAGCAGATGCGTTATCGTGATGCAAGGGCCATGAATTGTTTTTCCACAATACCGGACGTTTTCTTTGTATTGCTCTGGCAATCAGCGCATAACTTCAAGATAAAACGCCTTTTTGACCTTACTATTATTAGGCAAGAACACCTGATGCACTACGTCAAGGTAATAATAGTAATAATGTCTTTTATTCACCAAGGTAAAATCATGCAGCGAAATTCAGGAGACAAGCGTGTGCAACACGCCGAATCCTGCTCTTCCACTCAACTCCTTTATAATATGCAAAACTAAAAAGTATTCATCGAACATATGATGTACAAAAAAGTATAGTATGTATGTAGTAAGAGAGAGAGAGAGAGAGAGAGAGAGAGAAAAAAAAAATGAAAGGAATAAAAGAGGGGTAATTCATAATGCTTTCAGAATGACTTGAATTTTGCATTTTATGCGAGACTTTAGTTGCACGATAGCTGTTTTTCATATAGCCAGTTACGAGCCTGAAACTTGAAAAGTGGTAATTTTAATTTTTTTAGATGTGTGGGAATACTATTGTAATGAGTGTAGATAGAAAAACTGAACGATCTCTCGATCAGTGCTGTGCTGTGGTGAGGGGCAGTTATTGCATTTTTGTGTCGGATATTCACTTTATGTTCATTTTCACGAAATGTAGCTTTATCATACAGATACTGCGATGATTTGTTGATGATTATATTGTGAAATAGGATTAGATATTGCAATAAGAAACGATTCTTTATTGACAGCCATTGCGACTGAGAAAGCTTATGAGAGGTATGCTGGAACTTCGGATGCCATAGATGTAGCGTAAACAGGAATTATGGACTTTTTGTATCCTGCATAAATCTAGACTATCCAAACAGGGATAATATACAGGTGAACTGTAGGTGAACTGTGGAAGGATGAGAGTCTGGCATACATTGATTTTTGTATGAGTATTTAGGTATGCTCGGTGAGGATAAATCAATCTTAAGTTCGCGTGAGCTCTCTGGATATATAATGAAACTTGCTTTTTGAACCTGAAATTATTATCCAATACCAAGCCAAGATTTGTTGCCTCCGGAACTATATTTAGAGTTATACCATTCATTTACTTGAGGTAAATACCTTTGGCATAATAACTTGTGACCAAAAATAAGACCCTGCGTTTTATTATGCTTGAGTTGCAGTTCATGTTTCATAAAAGAATCATAAATGTTTTGAAGTTCAGTATTGATGTCAGCAACAGCTTCATTCAGCAAGTCTGGTTTAAATGATACATAAAGTAGGATATCATCAGCGTAAGCATGATACTTACAGAGATTGCAAGGGCCCAAGTATAGATCCTTGCGGAACACCGCGCATTAATCTCACCGATTCAGATAGTTCGCCTTCGAGTTTCACCATTTGATGTCTATTTGTGAAGTATTCCTGCATCATCTTAACGGCTGTTTTAGAGAAGCCAATATAATTGAGCATAGATATACGTATTTCTGGATTCAATGAGTCGAATGCTTTACTGTAGTCCAGTAAGATCAATAATGAGATGTCTCCTGTATCTGTTGCTGCCAATATGTCATCCGTTATTTTAAGCAAAACTGTTGTACAGCTATGTAGAGGCCTAAAACCCGGCTGAAAGAGAGGCATTAGATCAAAGTTACTTATATATTCCCTGATTTGTTTGTTCAAAATGCGTTCCAATAACTTAGACGTGGTGGGTAGAATACTTATGGGTCGGAGGTCTTTGTAGTCTAAAATATCAGCAGTTTTGGGGACAGGTATAACATACGCAATTTTCCATTGAGTTGGGAAACAATTTTCAAGAATACAGCTATTGACTATATGTAATAAAGCATTTTTTCATAATAAAGACGATATTATTATTATTATTATGTTTATTCATTCGCTAATCGAATGTACGTAGCCGGCAAAATGTGAACATTCACCTTCGTTTTTGAACAGACCGCGTAAATAGTTTTTTTCTGAACCAAATAGTTTTTGTAATTGATGACTAAAAAGAAAAATTATATATTCCATACCTACCCAGATGAGTAGAATCATATGATTATCACAGCATTTTATCATTTAAATTATGTGAAAAAAAAATTTAAACACTTTTTTGATTCAGGTGAATTTTTTTCAGTTGATATCAATTATCTTATCTAAGTAAAGAAAACGATGAACTATATAGATTCAAACAGGATAATTTGGATAATTATCACGAATAATATATGAAAAACCTAAAAAAAGCCTTAAAGATGAAAGCACGACCAGCTGTCAAAAGCGCTCGCATATAATAAATGGGAGTTATAAAACTTCAATTGTTAAAATGTAAAGGTATGGAACATTATATACTATTTTTATGATTAAATTAAGTATTAGAAAATGAACTCAGCAGGTTGTCGGACATGATTGACAAGACACATGAAATTTGACAGAAAGTGTGACAGATTTTCTTGTTCTCACCATTACAGTGGTGCCAATGAGATCTCACAGAACTATAAAATGATGCAAACAAAGGAGATAAGTACAAATCAGGCTTAGACGTTCAATGTCTGTCCTGGAATTAATAGTAAAATTAAAAAAAGAATCAAATACCAATAGCAATAGGCTAATATATGGTATGAGAAATAAGATACATATGTGTTCGAATTAAAATTTGAAAGACATCTAGAGAAAACTGCATCGATGTTGTTCTATGTCTTGTGGTAGGTTCATTTCGGTTTTTATTCATTTGTACTTCTAATTTATGTTGTAGTAGAAAGTTTACCAAAAGTTGTACAGTGCTCGCACCTAAACCCCTACGTAACTTTCTCTCTCTATTTCTCTTTCTATCTTCACTAACTTATACATCCCAAGTCAAGCGCGCGTAAAGAAGTTTTACTTCAAAAACCTAACACAACTAAAAACTCAGCAAACTTTGAAAGTAATAATATTACAAATACGGCTTGTTTCTATTCAATTCACTCATCCTCTTCAGCTGAAGTTTCATTTGTCGTGTTAATGACACACTCGGATACACTCGGATACCTTTTCATTAAAAAAATATTATATATGAAAAAAAAGGTACTTTCTCTACAAACTCCTAGAAAAAAGTATTTTCCTGCGTTTTCTTCAAATGTGGCAACTACGCAGAACTAAAGGAGGCGTATGTCAAGATCGTTTCCGATCAGTTCCGACATTCTCCGAGCCATAAACTTTTCATAACTTCTGCGGCTCGGTGGACACACAAAATGGAAATAGGATTCAGTTCGATGTGAATAGCGTATGAAGATAAAACGTAGCGTACTTACGTTTCCGCTTAAATACAAAGAATTTTCAAAAACATTGAATTGAAAATTTTATGATATCGAATGAAAATTGTCTTACTATGCTTGTGATAACGAGTGGAATCTAGTGATGTAGTTTTGAGTGTGGGGTTGGTCTTTAGTCACCGTTTCACTGGAATATTCGCAATTTTGGATTACGTGCTGAAAATGGCCTTAGCAAGGTGAGTAAAATTCATTAAAAAATTATCTAGGTTTTCTTTAAAATACCTACTGTACAGTTTTAAATATATATACACTACCTACCAAGCTCTTTTTATTTGTTTGGAAGCGTCTGTTGAGTACATTGTCATCTTGAGGCCGATGGACTCCAAGACTGCCCAAGGTCTAGGTCATTGTCCGGAAGAAGACTACGAATTCTTTATTTATCGGTAGTGCGTTCTATCTTCTATGCTTTCAGTTCACGCTGAAGAAATAAAACGTTTCTGTGTACTATTTTTGTGAGTGATTGAGGGAAGGGGCTAGCACGTGTCGTATACAACAGTTGTCATTGATGGCCATGATCATTGATGCCCCCGTAGGGGTCTGGGGTCAAAACGTATTTATGAGAACGTTCTTGGGTTTGACACGTAGCCCTAAAAGTGTAGGTAGTGTGAAGTAACGGGTGGTTTGTATTCATTAGCTATTATTACGTTTGCGATACATTTAAATTGGACTGTCAGAATTTCCCGATCAGCTGATATTGGGTAAACATTGTGACAGTAATTATCTTGCTCTGTTTTTCATCTCCTGAGATTCTGACCCTATTTTGGGAATATGAAAGTAGAAGGAACAAGATTGTTTCTCCAGCAAATGTAATTCTATATTGTTACATTATGACGTTTTTAAGTGAAATTTTACATTCATTGTGTTTTTTCAGGCGTTAAAAATCAAATGATCTTTTCTATTAGACAAGTCATACATTCTTCCAGTTGTTTCAGACGAAATTTTGCTCATGTTGAGTTCAGAAAATATTTGAAAAAAATACACTATATTTTCCTGATATCTAAGAAACGATTGGAAATATAAATGGGAATGTAGAAAAAGTTTGTATTTGTCTCGAGGTTTGTCTAAAATAATTTTGTTAAGAGCTGATTAATTAATAGTTTTGTAAATCAATTCTCAGTTCAGGAAAATTTTCACATCAAAAATTGAATAACTTGCTTACTGATAAAAAATTTTGTGTTGTACTAAATTCCAATTATTCGGTCTAGGTTATAATACTTTTTGGTTTTATTTAGTATTATTTTTCATCATATCTTTTGATATCCGTTCATGATTATTGTTAAAGGTCACGTAACTGATTTCAATCAGGTTTTCAGAGAAAACAATCCTTCATTTAACTCATTTTTTTCTAATGACGCAGTAGTCATGAGTCAACAGAAAGAACTGTAGATCGTGGAGTAAAGAAAATCCACATCGGATGATGAACTGGAAGGTGAACATTTGGGCTGGAACTCGAAGTTCTCAAATTATCCCTTCATATATTTTTTGATAGCAGGATAGCACATCAATCGATTTTGCGCGTTCCTTGGTTTTCATTTCTCTCTCCAAAGTGAAGACTATTTTTCCCGGATAATGACAGTCCTAATGAAATTTCGAGTGAAATTTATAGAAATATTTGATATCCACATGAGTTATACCATATTTTGCATTGGCAATAAGAACGGTCGAAGCAGTGAAATTTAGTAACCTTTCCGTTTTCCCGATTTGATCCCACTTGACCATCGTGTAAAATCTTGAGTACCACTACAACAGACTAGGAAACATCGATGGCTCAAAAGAATAAGGCAAGAAATTGATCAATTGAAAATAAAACTACAGGTTTTCAATAAAAAATAAAGATAAATTCGGAATATCTAGAAAGCATGGAAAACTCTTTGAAAGAAACTATCACACGCATCGTCGTTCTTTTTAAAAATTTTCAGAGGGGTGCTGTCACTTGAAAGGGATGTTTAAAAAAATGACGAACCTATTAATAGGTAATTTGAATGAAAGGCGTTGCCAAATTATAGGAAAAAATCAGCTTCACAAACTTCGAAATTTTATAAATTTTTATTGATGGGAATACTAAGACTCGTGTTGAAAAATGTTATATAATATAAAGTTGAGGAATTACCTTTCTTGCATACTCGTATGCAATTCATCAGGATTTGACAAGTGTCATAACATTCAAAATTAGAAAAAAATGATGGTTTTTTATTCATGTTATATTAAAATTTTTTTCAAAGCTTTTGTAATTCAGTTGTAAAAAATATTTATGTTCATTTATTTTTATAATTGATCAGTTTGTTGAATTACAGTAAACTTGACATTCTGAAATTGTTGATTTCTCGTATTTGGTAACAAATCAGTATTCTGTACCGAAAGGCTATTACTAGAACTTTGCACTTTTGAATTCTTAATTCCAGAAGAATAGTATTTCTCTTTCACATTTTTCATGATGTAAATCAGTGACAGAGTATATTTCCATGAGAAAAATACTTTTTTCAAGCGTAAAGTAACGGAATATTGCAAATTGAATGATGATAATTTTTTCAAAAATTGAATAAATGATTTTGATTATTTTCAAAGCATCGTGTATCAAATTTTACTTCTGATAGTAACAGCTGGTGAATTGACTAGAGGGTATTGTACCTGGTTTTCTATTTTCTACCTGTAGAGATGTCTTTCGTAGGGCAATCAACAAGGTATCCAAATATTTTCTCTATTTATATTTCTGAATTTTTCGAAGTGCTCTGGGATATCAGTTGAAATTTTATTTACTTTATTATCACGTTGATTGTATGTTTGTTTGAAGGCGATTGACAATGTTTCATGATGAATTTTATTAGGGCGGAATTCCATTGTTCGATCCGAGTATTACTTAAAATGATTTAAAACCCCTGAAAGAACTGATAAAAATAAGAATTAAAAAAGAATAGCTGAAAATATAAATTATATTCAGCAAAAAAAACTAAAATAACAGTGAAATAAAATACAAGGAAAAATAGAACAGTCGAACAACAAATAATATAAATAAAAAATTAACGTCTTCGGGTGATGACTGTACTTAATACCTCCGAGAGATGATTATTTATGGGTCATTCGAGTACTTTCACTTATCTCCGCTTTCCTTTTTCTCCTTCGCCAGTTTAGCGGGAGATGACCATTTGGCGGGAGTTGGGTTTCCATATGTTGTGTATATCTACGCTAGCTTGGCTGAATACATTGTTGGACATCATGTATGCGGCTTCTTTAAATTTCCCCCTAAACCAGTGTTCCTCCCTGTGGATGATCTCAATTTGATAAGCATTTTTATTCAGAGAGAACTAGTCAACAAATAGGTAATTTCTAGTTCTAATTATTGTAATGAGAAATTGCTTCAGTATGCGGCTTCTTTAAATTTCCTCCTAAACCAGTGTTCCTCCCTGTGGATGATCTCAACTTGGGACCACTCGATGTTGATTGTAATTATATAATTTCAGATTTAATTCAATTTGATAAGCAACCTAATTCAGAGAAAACTAGTCAACAAATAGGTAATTCCTCGTTATAATTATTATAATGAGAAATTGCTTCAGTTTTGGGAATCAAATAATTGTTACAGCTTGTCAAATCTAGGAAGAGGCTTGAGAATTCTCTCTCGCTCTTATAGTCTCCTAACGAACGAACATCCAGTGGGCGGGACCATAACGGAATTCAGAAAGCTCTTCCTACATTTGACAAGCTGTACAGATCTACCTATAGCGGGTATTCAATAAATGTGTGAAAAATATGATAGAACCGACCGATATTTGATGAAAATCCGTTAAAACGTATTAAAAAAAACTTAAATGTGAGATTTCAACTTGGCAGGTCACACGGACATCAATATATACAAATCGTCAATATATCCATAACAATATAAAGTAGCAGCATTCAGTAGTATGATTCACAGACTATTGAATATTCCACTATCGGAAAGCAATTTTCAAATAGAATGGATTTTCATCAAATAAATTGCTTTTTAACAAACTACACCTAAACGATTTTGTGGAGATCAAATCGTTTAGGTGTAGTTTGTGAAATTACTATGGATCTTCATCAAGTAACGGCCAAATCAATCAGAAAAATAAATTGCTGTCAACAACGGTTACGAGGTGGATATTATTGACTCGATTCTTTCTTAAAAAAATGCAAAAACATGCTCTGAACCAGGTCCATCCGGTTTCAAAGAATGATAGTAAACATGTGACTGTAACTTACTTTTGTGATCCTACTAAAAAAAATATCGCTCGTTTAAAAAAAAAAACAAATGATTGGACGTAGCCTACAGAACAAACAATACATTCTTAAAAACAAAGATGAAACTCCATTGTCGAATAGATCGGGAGTTTATAAATTGACTTTTGGTTCTTGTCCTAACTTTTATATTGGCCAAACGGGAAGAACTTTCTCTAAAATAATAAAAGATCCTAGAAGCGGTTTTTTGATTGAGAAGACCAATTCAACATTTGCAAACCATCTTTTGACAAAAGAGCACGAGTTCAATCACGATTAGGAAGTATTGCGTTTGGAAGAGAAAGGTTCAAAACTCGGTCTTAAGGAATGCTCAGAAATCAACAGATTTAAGAATTCGGGATTATTGCTCAATGATAAAAAAGATTTTAATTGTTCCCTTTTATTGAATTCAGTTTGCAATGAGATAATTGGTGATTAAGATAGATCCAAAAGTAGGTAAAATGAGGTTCAGGTAGAAATTTGTCAGGTAAAAATAGTCATTAGGATAGGATTCAAATTACTATGAAAGCATGACACAGAATTTGTTTAGTCAGTATTGTGACGCCTGAAGATGCTATTGTATAGCGAAACACGTGTTGCAATTTTTGTAAATTGTCACATTGAAGTGTTTTTTCGAATACGTAATAAATGTGTGTTTTAAATTATGATTTTAAATGAAACTCTTTATTTTTGTTCATCTGAGAATAATTCTGTTACCCGATTTAAAATTTGTCAGTGTTCTGAAGTGAATCTGAGATTAAAAAAAAGATTTGAATATCTACTAAAATTGTTGTTTGAAACAAGGACGCCATGTACTTACAAATACAAAGATTAATAATATTAGTGTCACCCTCTATAAAATGTTCATAATAGTGGCACGATGCTGACCATTGCGTACTCCGCTAGTTTGTCGCAGGGCTGCGACAATGTATCACAGCATCAC